CGGCCGAAAAATTTGCATGTTTGCGTTGAAAAAAAAGGCAGAAGGAAATGGAATTGGACGCTGATATTTGGTGATTTTGTTTATCTACAGACATACTTTCTGAATATACAATAAAAAGACAGCACAATTTTCCATCGCAGTGGCACTTTAAGCTGTAATTTTTTCGCTTTTAAGTGGCCGAATACACGAGCATTTAAAAATATATAGTTTTCTCAGCGTAAGTTTTAAGCCCCGTTATTTGACATGTATATACAGTAAAGTCCCGTTTACACTACGCTCAATTTTTGGTACGGCACGAATAAAATTGGCACCCGTACCATTTTTTTGGTTCTTGGACTACCTATTTAGGTAGTCCAAGAACCAAAAAGTGGTACGGTAGGCTACTAAAAATTGAGCGTAGTGTAAACGGGGCTTCGCTAAATAGTTAGTCCAAGAACCAAAAAAGTGGTACAGGTATCAATTTTATCCGTGCCGTACCAAAAATTGAGCGTAGTGTAAACGGGACTTTATACATGTCAAATAACTTTCCGACTTTCAGTCGCATTTCTCTCAAAATATAGTCAATTCTGGTGTACATCGTGCTTAGTATGAAGTCTTTAGGGCTTGATGCAATTCATTTTCGTGTTTTGACTATCGTTAGGCTACGCTTCTCAAACGTTTTGGGCAGATTTTTTCGTTTAAAAATTGTTTCACTCCTCGATTTTTGCCAAGAAAACCAGAGCGGGCAGTTGTATTTCACAGCGGGCAATTTCGTTTCAGAGCGGGCAGGATGCAAAAAACCGGCCCGCTCTGAAAGCCTCCTCAGCCAATCAGATTGCTTCATTCTGACTGATAAAGTTTTCGTTGTATTGTATTTCACAAACATATATATACTTAATTAGCTGCTTGCAAATTTTATAAAACATATATTCATATAACAATTCATAGAATATAAAATAGCTATTGAAACATAATAAACAAGGCTAGGAAGTTCTGATAACTTCGAAAAATAGATCAAAACAATAAAGAACCTGGACGTGCACAAATTGACACAAGTCTATCCAAATTTAGACAGAACATAAAATTAAGACTTACAACCTTCCTAATCATGTTTATATTTCAATAACTATGAGACACTAATAGCAGCAAGAAAGTGGAGCAGCAAGACTACTAGCAGTGTTACACTTTAAGCAGATAGACTTCCATGTCCGAGGATTTTGAGGTTGATAATTTAGTTATAAGGCAGTTTTGAAGTAGTCTAACAGCAGAGATTTAAATCGTGAAATAAAATTGAAAGTGATGTTTTTATACTTTTTTATAATTGATTTAAATCGTAATTTAAATTTGAAAGTGATGTTTTTATACTTTTTTTTTCAATTTTAAAGATATAAAGAATATGATCGCGTAATCATGACAAATACTTGATGCCTGTTTGGAAAGTTTGGTTGTTTTGCTGGCAATTCAATCTCGTTCCCCGAGCCTGCGATCCTCGGGAAGGAACGCGAGGCTCTGGGATAATCCGTTTCAGGGAGGAATCTGATTGGCCGTTGAAATGAAATGCGTAGTTCAATCTTAGCCAGGATTCCTGGCTTCCGGCAACGGATTATCCCAGAGCTTCGCGTTCCTTCCCGAGGATCGCAGGCTCGGGGAACGAGATTGCTGGCAATTGTGAGGGGTTTCTGCATTCATGTATTTCCGGTTAGATATTATTACTACTAATTAACAACTACTAATTGTCGTGAATTGCCTCCTATATTCACAACAACTCACTAAAAGTAGAGATTTCTAACGCTATTTTGAAAAATATATTTATTCTCGCCCGGTTTCAGCACAATCACAAAATTCTTGAAATGTACAACTCCACGCTGTTTGATTGACACTTTCGCTTGCATTAACTTTAGGTATGCCATTAACTATTAAATATTAAACATTGGCCATTTTCAACACTAATTAATTGACTCTTACTTTCAAATGGAGTCAGGATGCCCATAAGATCCTGTATTTCGGCTTTCAAGTTGGTAAGTTCGTTGTTAACCTGCAAAAGGAAAAGAAAACAAGCGAGCTCTGGAGGAAAGGTTAATTGAAAGTTAATTCTATAAACCTTCTTTCTTCAGATTTCAAACATAACTTTAGAAGACTACAAAATGTGCATTTGGCCGTAAAGTGTAACACTTACTTTCATTGTTGTGGAAATGTATATATATACCGGGTGGGGCAAAAAAAGTACGACTGTTTGAATTGCTGAAAGATCAAAACTAAAAGAGCAATGACACTAAACAAGTTTATTGGCATTCAGCGATATCCAACTTAAATTTTGATGAATGGCATGCACATTTCGATGCCATATTGACAAAGATACATGCATTTAAACAGGCTTAAACATTTTTGGAACTGACTAAATGAGCTAAAAATGGCTTATTAAATGTTTAATACATACAACATGCAATAACTTGTGTTGAGACGCATTATATTTTATTGTCATGCGTTCGCGCTTCTGGTTCAAAAACAATTGTTTATATTCATCAGTAAATGCATGTCCCCCAGCACGAATGCAACGTCTTGCCCTTGAAATCATACAATCGAAAGAATTTTGGATCATTTGCTGTTTCAAGTTGCTGCATGCTGTAGCAATCGCTTCACGATGCTCTCTCAAATTGTGCTTCATTTGACGCACACATAGACTTGTCCCAATCAATTGGAAATACTCTCTCGTGTGGAGATTTGATATCAAAATTTAAGTTAAATATCGTGGAGTATACGGTGACTATTTAAGTGTAATAGCTCTTTTACTTTTTAAGTTATTGTAAATCAAACTGTCGTACTTTTTTTGCCCCACCCACTTTTTTTTCCCGCGTGTTTTCAAAGTTTCACAAATTGTGAAAGTTTGAAAAGACAAGTGAAATTACACCTTACTTTAACGAGGAACTATGCGATTACTTGTTAATCATACTGGGCCGGGTGCATGTATAAAATTAATTACTCTCAATTTCCGGCAAGGCATATTTTAACTATAAAACTACTGGGGCATTTATTTTATGAGTAAACGCATGCTTTGAGGCGTTACTAAACCACAGAATAAAGATCAGTAACAGAAGGGCCACTCAGCGGTGCAACGTGTCCGCGTTTTTAATGCAAAAATATGCAGTTTAATGGCCAGAAGGCGGAGCAGCCAGCCAGTACAGCGTGTTTATTGGCCAGAAAATGTCATTGACTGGCTAAGAAAATGGCGGCCAACATTTGTAATGCGACATGCGCGAGGCCCTTCTATATGGATCTTTATTCTATGTACTAAACCTCCCTCGATTTGCGGGGTCATTTAATCACTAATTTCCCTCCTTTGTAATTACATGGTAGCCAAGGGAATCACGCGTGGTGTGTTGGTCTCTTTTGAATGCTGTTTGATTGTCTTATGATTGCACGTGTGATGAATACTTTTCATATACTGTATACGTACGGACAGAAACACATCTCCGCGTTCATTCTTTTTAGGCATGCGCATAAACCGAATTTTCTCCCACAATTGAAATGTTCAAGATTGCGGAATGAAAACTGGCAAAGTGACTGTTCGAATGTGTACGGGACGGTGTAGTCAGATACTGTCCATAGTTGTGCCGATGATTTTCGATGAGGTACAGCTCTCCAATGAGAGGTAATGAGGTACGCTAGGCTTTTGTCTTCTAAATTTCCCTCATCAAACATGCAGGAAAAATTAGAAGACAAAGAAATCTTTTGTTTTCAACTAAATTTCCCGGGGAAATTTAGAAGACAAATCGTATGCATGGGGTAATGAGGGAAATACGTACGGGATTAAACGCCCCTGATGAAACGAAAGAAACCAAGGCTACCATGTAATTACCTCAGTAAGCCTTTGCTTGCTCCAGTAGTGAAGAAGATTTTCGGATGAACTACATGGCATGGGCCCTTTTGATCTAATGATTGGTAAAAAGTCAACCCTGTTGAAAAAGCTGAATCTACCTGCTTTCTCATATCCTCTCACATTCTCGACATTCCATCTTATAAAAGTCAGAACAGGCAGGGCTAAGGGGCGGGGGGCGGTTGTGTTGTTTGGAACACCACCAGTCGTCAGGTAGTCGGCAAATTATCTAATCGCGGTTGGATAGGAAGGAAAGAAACTAAAATATTTGAGTGACACTGATTAAAAACTAATAATTGTAGCTAAAATTTAGAGAAATGTACGGAATAATTACGGAAAATTAAACAAATAATGCTACGGTAAAGGAAAATGGCAATATAAATTTTTATTTTCTATTTGGAAGAACGTTTGAAACTTAACCGCCTATTAACTTTTTTTACTGATTTTTAGTTCTTAAAATATTTCACATGAAGTAATAAGATATCCGCCATCTTGGATAAATTTTTGATCTCATTAATTAACGGTAGTTTTGTTGACGTCACAACAGGAATTAACCATGCAAATAAAAGTGTTCGTTCCTGACCAAATATTGATTGGTAGATGTTTTAGAAGTTTTGAGTGATCTTGATATTTCGAAGGGCAGACAGAGTACAGTTTTGAGTACAGTTTATTGCGTGACCCCTGTTGTGACGTGACATGCATAGCTACAAAAACTTTGATCAAAAGATTTGTAGAAGTAAGCAAGATATGAAAAAATGGTAAAAGAGTATTATATATAGTCTTAAACTTTGCCAACACAAACGTGCACACGAACATGACATTATAACAGCATGCAGATTGCAGAACATGTACATCACTTAATTTAACAACGAATAGCGGGGACACCACAACAACATAAACCAATTAATTTTGGCCCTGGGACCGGTTGTATCAATTTATAATGTAAAATAATGAAATAAAAATTCTCGAACTTAGATTTGGCAAACCAAAGGTGTGTGTGTCTTTTCAGACAATCTAAAAATGGCTTGCGCACGAGATTTAAAAGCTTTAATCGTATTTTGAGTTAATGGGTGAAAAATGTGTTGGGTTCGTAATTGCTGCACGAAATTTCAGACAATTTGCTTTAGTTTAAGCCCTTTAGCTATTCACTCAAACTTACATTTTTTCCCCAAAAATCAGCCTTTCAGAATGCTTAATCAATGGCTTTGCCTGATTTTCATATTGCCGCAAGTCATTTTTAGTTTGTAGGAAAAGAAACACCCCCTATTCTACAAAATTTGTGTTCGAGTATTTTTTTCATTATTCTACATTATGGGTATCCAAGAATCTATATCTAACAAAAACTTGATACCACGAGTTGTTTTGCGAAATTAAGAGCAATTTCAAATGTGTTCAGTTTTTTATACACCCTGTAGAGGGCGAAATTTATTGGTATAAGTAATTGTGAACTTGTCAAGTTCTTGAACCTCGTATGTTCCGTGTCTTCGCCGGTGTTCCTAATGCAATAATGCTGCCCATTTCTTAATAACTACAACCCATATATTTGTACTTTTTTAGTGTTCGAGTTTTCACTAGATGTTTTTAATTCTTTAATAATATCATTATCCGCAACGACAAAGCGAGAAGCCATTGTTTTTATTGCTATTTAAAATAAGGAACTTCTGCGCTTGCGTCTCAGCCAATCAAGTAATTTTGTCCTGAATTAAGAAAAAATGACCTCATCATTGGCCAATCATATTTCGGTAATTTTTCCATCTATGTGATTAAAACTTAAAGCCTCAATAATTCCATGTCTAATTGAGGTGACTCGTTACACTTTTCAACAAACGAGGTATATTTAAGTTTGACCCTTCTTAATTAACTTCGTGTTTTGACGATGTTATGGAACTATCCTATATTTTACAACAAGGGGGGGGAGAGTTTCGCTCTCGACCAATCAATGCATTTGTTGGCATTTTCGCTCTAAGTCAATCAGAATTCTTACCATTTCCCCCCTCCCCCATTGACAATGTTGCACGGGTGAATGTTTTCAGCCAACAGTGTGGTTTGGTATCACGAAAACAACATTGTTTTGGGGGGAATGTGTGGCGAATAGGATGTCTCAATAATTTTTGCTCCTGATTGTAGGTCTTGATAAAAGACACCAATATTTCGCAATCAGGAAAATTATGTCTATCGCGATTAGGACAACATATTTTATAAAAGCATTACATACGTATTTTGAATAACAATTTCGAGAGTCTGAACAATGTTTATTAGAGCTCAAAAGTTCCGAAATATATTAGTTGCCATATGGCAACATTGCCAAGTTATGGTAACATGACACTGATTATTATGACACATATTTGTTTTCTTTCAGAGGGGAAATAGTTGTAAGTGCAAGTCACAAAATCATATAGATTTCAGATAGTGCTCTTGAAACAACACTTTTAGAGCCTATTTAGACCAGAGTTTGTATTTTTAAGCACAATATTTCCTTGTAATAATATATCCTAGTAATTCCCCCCAGCTATTTACACCCAGGGAAACGAAAGCATTAGCGTGGGTGATCATCCTCACTGATCTCAAAAATATGGCGGACTGTCATGAATAGCGAACACTATGATTGGTCCAATTTAAAGTTTGCATTATAACGACTGCATGACGACAGCGAAATAGCGAACATTTCTTGATTTGATGATTGATAAATTTCTTGCAAATATATTTCATTTTTGCTCGCATTTTTGCAAGATTTTGTAAATTTCAAGAAAGAAAGGGCGAAAGAATCGGCTAAAAAAAGGGAGCCAACGTTAACAAAGGTAAGTTTGATAAGTTTGTTTTAAACATTGATTTTATAATTGCTATAAAATCCGATCCGACGGCCTTTGCCATGCGTATATGAAACAACTAAACAAGACAGCATATCATTTCAGTGTATCTTTAATATTGATTCCCTTTTCTATTATATTGAATTTTTTAAATAAAGAAGAAAGCAAAGTTATTTGCATGCGAGAATTTGAAATCATTCTATTGCAAACTCAAAGTTTATCGATAAAGCCATTTAATTAAAGGCAGTTTAGTTTTATAAAGAACACTTTAATTTAAAACGTTTTGCGAAGCGGTTGGCGTTGAATTTTACCTTAAATTGAAGCTTATATTACGCATAATATCATACCTAACATATATATGTTGGGAAATTGATAATTTGGTAATTAAAAGTGATATTTTTAGGCGATTTTTCATTTGTAAGAATATTCTTAAAAAATCATCGTGTTACCATGACAACTACTTTAGATACTTCATGTTGGGAAAATACAATGGTTTTTTCAGCAAGGCGAGGGTTTCTGCATGCATGTATTTTCCATTATATGTTATATTATACGTGTTGGACGTAAACAACATATCTTGTCTACAACTTTGGGAAGGTACAGATAAAGCTTTCTGAAATCCTCAGTTCTGGCTCTATCTCAAAAGAAATTACAAGGACGTTAATGCTAAGTCTTTTGGCTCTGACTCTGGGCTGAGAAATAATTCCTTACATGTGATCAAAATGTTTTATACAACGATGTAAAACGGTAATGTTATGTATTAAATGGGTCAGCATTTAAATTTCCAACACAGTTTTTGAGACGTAATTCAAGAGTTAACTTATCATTGCATTTGAGCTATTATATCAGTTGATGTTATTCTGTACGATTAGCAAGTACTATATTGGAAAGAGGGCTTTCATATACGTTGTAATCACCAAATAAACAGCTCATGCACGCATATCTCCACTTCGTCGTAAGTTTACAGAGCAGATTTTATACTTTGGCACAGATATTTGTCTTTCATGTGAACATTTATTCTTCTAGTTCAAGATTATTTATTAAGAGTGATCTTGTCGTAAGTCTTCTACCAGCAACCCATCGACAATATTTCATTTTAGTGTTGTCTTTGTCGTTCCATTGGCTTCGCGTTACTTTAGTTTAAATACCTTGATAGCGTTAAAAGAGTTATTTCTCAGCCCAAAGACATAGCCAAAAGACTTGGCATTAACGTCCTTGTGATTTTATGGAGATAGAGGCAGAAGTGAGGATTTCAGAAAGCTTTATCTGTACCTTCCCAAAGTTGTAGACAAGATATGTTGTTTACGTCCAACCCGCATAATATAACATAACTCAAAATGATTCGAACAAAACCGGTCTTTTGTTAAAGGGTCGACTGGTTAATAGAAATTGGTCTTTTTGATTGATATAATCGTTTGTCGTCATCGATCCGTGTCGTTGAACAATGAAAAAAGTTGTCGTGAAATTAGTGAAGATAAATGTCAATAACCACCTTAGACCCATCTCCCTGACACCAGCGCTGCTATTTCTAAAGTTGCAGAGGAGTTTGTTGTGAAATTGTACGTTGCGCCAGCTGTTCTCGAGATCATCGACCCCATGCAGCCAGTTTGGGGTGGCCGGACATTTTGCCCAAAGACACTTTGCCGAAAGACATTTCGCCGAAAGACATTTTGCCGAACGGACATTTTGCCGACGGACGTTTTGCCGAATGGACATTTTGCCGAACGGACAGTTTGACGAACGGACATTTTGCCGAAAATAGAGATTAAGAGATATCTTCTGAACTTTAAAAGTTCGCTCACTGCACAATCAAAGTTTCTGTGATTAAAGTCATTAATTGTCGATTTTGACGACAGAAATTTGATAGTGAAGTATAGTTTCGTTTTATATTCTTTCAAGTTTTTGACAAGTTTACCGAAAATTCGCGATATAAAGAAAAACATCATTCAATATCATTCATGAATGTGATTTCCCCGAGAACTGTGAATGTGTTCTATGATTCTCGAAGTGAAATTCGCTTACGTCGTCTTTATATACGCTTGTTTGTTTACGATCTGATGTCAAAACACGTTCCTAACAAATGAGTCATCCGCTGCACAAACAAGCTACCAATAGTCAATATGGTTATGCACTGCTAACAACCATTATTATGCACTGCTAATGCCATTATGCACTGCTAATGACCATATAATGGTTATTTTACACAATGGTTGAGAATTACACAGTTGAGAAATGAGTCACAGTCCCAAACATTTTGACGAAATAGCATATTTATTTTCGGCAAGTTGTCCTTTCGGCAAACTGTCCTTTCGTCAAAATGTCCGTTCGGCAAAATGACCGTCGGCAAAATGTCTTTCGGCAAAGTGTATTTCGGCAAAGTGTATTTCGGCAAAATGTCCGTTCGGCAAAATGACCGTCGGCAAAATGTCCGTTCGGCAAAATGTCTTTCGGCAAAGTGTATTTCGGCAAAGTGTCTTTCGGCAAAATGTCCGGGTACCCCAGTTTGGAGCCATACCGAAGTCCTCAAAAGCACACGCCCTTATCTCTATGATCCATCATTGGGCCCAAGCCACGGACAGTACAGGAGCCGCAGTTAGAGTGGTCTTATTTGACTACAAAAAAGCGTTCGACCTAATTGACCACCAAATTCTGGTACAAAAGATCCTTAGCCTAAATATTACCCGAAGCATCGCACGCTGGGTAGCTGATTTCTTAACGAACCGTAAACAACGTGTCAAACTTTCACATGACTGCTTTTCCGAATGGGGAGATGTACCCTCAGGAGACCCGCAAGGCACCAAATTAGGACCGTGGCTGTTCCTGCTTATGATTAATGACCTAAAGATCCAAGATGTTAGTAGCTGGAAATTCGTTGACGACACAGCCATATCAGAAGTTGTCCAGCTTGAAACAAATAGTCAAGTCCAAGACGCAGTTACATGAGTTGAAAAGTGGTCCACTGAAAATAAACTCCAGCTAAATGCCAAGAAATGCAAAGAACTCATCATCGATTTCAAGCATTCCAAACACGTCTTCGGACCTTTGACAGTAAATGGTAACCTACTCAGTGATGTAAAACATGTAAAGATCTTAGGTTTGAATCTCTCAAATGACCTCCAGTGGAACGTCCATATTGGTGAAATAATTAGAAAAGCTAATAAGCGTATGTACTTCCTAATTTTCCTAAAACGTTCTGGAGTACCAACTGCGGATATCCGAAATTTTTTCTGTACATGTATTAGACCTCTGTTGGAATACTGTTCGCAGGTTTTCCACTATACCCTCCCAAAATATTTCTGTGATGGCTTGGAAAACGTCCAAAAGAGAGCGCTGGCTATCATTTCCCCGAACCAGTCATATGAACATAACTTGCAGAAGTTTAACTTAGCTACTTTAAAAGATAGACGTATAAAGTTATGCGACAAGTTATTCACGTCCATCAAGAGTTCGGAATCTCATAAGTTACACAATCTTCTACCTCCTTTGCAAGAGGAAAACTATGACATTAAAAAGAAGAGAGTCTTCAATATTCCAATGATACGAACTGAACGCTTTAAGCGGACTTTTATTCCTTTGATGTGCGAGTCTTAATACAATTTGACCTTTGTAGTTAATTTTGTTGAACTGTCTTATATCTTAACTTAGCATCTAATGTAATTTTAAATTCGTGTTTTAATAGCTTGCAAATAGACTATCTATATCTATCTAAAATTGCATTTGTGAGGAAACTGCAGGTCTACGGAGCGGGAACTTTTCGGATTTGAACTCAGCGTGTTCGAAAGTGTTAGTTGCGGTAAAAATATTTTAGTTCCAAGATGGGTGAAATGAAAGTGAACGATATCGGGACGCAGCAAACGGCCTAATACATCATATTGGTCCAACGAGTTACGATACTCGTTGATTGCAGACACAATGCCAAACAAATGGTTTCAGAATTTAAAACGGAATCTCCATTTTGTTGATAACATGTACCACATTGTGGCAAAAACTCAAAAATGGTACATCAAAATCTTCTGGCATTGCATTGACATACGCAAGGTCAATCATGGGTTCTCTACCGCCGTCATTGCAACCAACAAGGCATCCCGAAGAAGAATCAGGAGTCGCAAATGAAATTTGCGCTTGAACTGGTTGACTTGCTATTTTCGGTGAACAAATCTGTACCATCAGCCGACAATGTTGGAAAGCCCTGCAGGTCATCAAAGAGAAAGAATGTGGAGGTACGACTCCATGTTGGGGCGAAAGCCTGTCACACCAAATCCTAATAAAGCAGTTAGAACAGACCAATTTGGTCATGCACTGGCCAGTGCATGTATAAGGACAAAGGACGATATAGAAAGTGAAGGTCTGATTTTTCCATAGTGCACTGCAGTAAATGCAAGGTAACATACTCCAATATAATTATATATATATATATATATATATATATATATATATATATATATATATATATATATATATATATATATATATATATATATATATATATATAATTTTATATTGAAAACAAGGGTATTGGTAAAATATATAAAAACATATTATTTGTTCAAAATAATGTTTATTCTCTATCCGGTTCTTGGCAATGTTGCCATGTGGCAACAAATTGCTGCACCCCCGGATTTCAATGAAATTCCTTTTTGTAAAGAAACTTGTTTTTGACCTAAATAGACTCAAATATATTATATGAAAAATATTTTTTATCACGATTTTTCAGTATTTGGCTATTTGCCAATTAAAGGGTAATAAACTGGGAAAATTTAATTGAAGATCTAGAAGTGTTGAGGTTATATTGACCAGTCTGAGGTGTAATTAAAATTACTATAATATTTATCACTCTCCCATATCTGTGTACAGGCTGCTATAGATCAACGATTATAGCCTGCAATCTGTACAAAATACTGCCGCGCGTATATCTAGTTGCATTAACTATATGCAAGATGACCATTATATTACTCCAGTTATGTTTAAGCTTTATTGGCTACTGTAAATTATCGAAATACAGGTAGTGTTAAGATACTGCTTTTTGTCTATAAAGGCCTTCATGGCATAGCATCCTGCTATATCACCGAATTACTATTAAAGCTCCGCACATATTCGAGAAATCTTAGATCTATAGTGATCAGGAAGTCCTAATTGTGGAGCCTCGCTTCAGGTTAAAGACGTATGGTGATAGGGCATTCTCTGTACTAGTGCCTATCCTGTGGAATCAACTTCCTATATTCAGAGGCGTCGCTAGACCTCTTTCAATGGGGGGAGATGTAAGTAAATTTTGCCGAGTGATCAGGGCAAATTTTGCCGAGTCATCACTACAATCGCTAATTAATATTTCGTTTCCCAAAATTGTTGAAGAGCGGGGTTGGGGAGAGGTCGCGCAATATTTTCCAGAGATACTAGAAAATTTTAGAATTTTTAAATTTTTCCCAAAATACAAAAATTTTCTCTACATATTATAATTTCTAATTCCGAGCCACTCAAATATTTTCACTCACCACGAAAACTATTTTCCGATAAATCCGAAAAGAATTTGCCGATTCTAGCAGACATTTTCCGAGTCTAGCAGACATTTGTCGAATCTATGATGATATGGGGGATGTTACACCACCCGCCCCAACACCACCACTGCCTATATTGAACTCAGACTTGGTTGATCTGTTTAAGAAACGTTCAAAATATGTATTTAAATTAGCTTATAACTAAGATCTGATTTCTATATATTTATATACCTGTACGGTATATATATATATATATATATATATATATATATATATATATATATATATATATATATATATATATATTGTTAGATGAATAACTTAGGTTTACACGAAGTAGAGCATTGACGGTCAAGTTGATCGCGGGCGCATGTAGAGAAACGGCATGGCTTTTGTATGTTAAAATATAGAATGGTTTTTGAGCTAGTTTTAAAACGAAAAGCACTATTAAAGTGAACTAAGTCAACGTTTAAATATAAAATATATCGAAAGAAGAACCCGTGTAACATTTTGGGGGCTCAGGCGGGAATTTTACAGCAAAATTCAAGGAGAAAAAGCGATCGAGAGGAGTATTTTCACTAATATTTGTAGTGAGTATATGAATGTGGAATTGTTTATACGAGGCGAACACAGGCGTTTCCTCGATGAAATGTTTGTATTTCTACGAAGCATGGACTGAACTTGTTTAACTTTGCAATTGTGAAAGGGACTTGTGTGCTTATATTATCCATTTTAACTTGATTACTTGAAGTATTGGTGTTATAATATGGACTGAACTTGTTTAAAACTTGCAAATGGAAATGTGAATGGGACTTGTGTGCTTATATTATCCATTTTAACTTGATTACTTGAAGTATTGGTGTTATAATATGGACTGAACTTGTTTAAAACTTGCAATTGGAAATGTGAATGGGACTTGTGTGCTTATATTATTCATTTGAACTTGATTACTTGAAGTTTTGGTGTGATAATTTAAAACTGTGACATTGATTAAAAGTCAAAATGGCCGACTCAGAGGTTGAAGAAATGTTATTGGAACTGGAGTCGGAAATACTTGCATTAAAGCTGGATGACATTTTGAAGTTAGCACAAAATATAAAGCTAGACGAATCTAGTGTTCAAGGTAAGAGTAGATTTATGATTCTAAAGGTTATACGGGAAGCTATAGAAGAGACAGTTGGAACGCTAACTGAGAAAACAGAATGTGTGACATATATAGAAAGTATTAAAGTATTTCTTGGTCCACCACCGCTCGAAGAGCCGGCTGATCAAGAGGAGGGACCCCAGAAAGAAGTAGAAGTTTCAGAAGTGGGACCCCAGGAAAAATCAGAAGTTGTAGAATTGGAAGAGAAGATACAAGAATTGTTGAGTAAACAAAAAGAAATCAAACTAAAGGCTCAAGAGAAAAAGGGAACAGGTGTTAGTAAGAAGAGTCCTGTTCAACCAGAAAATGTTATAAAAGTACCATTGGCAAATCTTGAAAAGAGTCTGCTACACCGAGATTTTAAGATACAAGGTGTAGTTGGGGAACCCGGACAGAAAGATAAGTTGGGGTATCAATCATTAGTTTCCCAAATTGAAGCCGGTGTTAGAAAACAATACTCTGAACTAGAAATTGTTAATGCAGTAGTTCGAGCAGTCCAACCAGTACTTCAGTTAAGAAGTTATTTGGAAAGTGTTACAGACCTAACCTTGCCCAGGCTAAGGAAAATTATTCGGTTCCATTATCATGAGAAGAGTGCAACCGAACTCTATCAAATGTTAGCCAACATTACTCAACAACCAAAAGAGGATCCACAATCTTTCCTCATTCGAACTCTGACCATTCGCCAAAAGATCATTTTTGCCTCAAAAGAGTCTGGAAATAATATAACCTATGATCAGAGCTCAGTGCAAGGATTATTTCTGCATGCCCTTGAGACAGGGCTTATTGATGAGACAATCCGAGCAAAGATGAGACCAACCCTCCAGAATCCTCTGGTCACCGATGAAGATTTGATTGAAGCCATGAACATGGCTATGTCCGCAGAAACCGAGAGAGTAAACAAATTCAGTTTTTCGGGCAGAAAGTCAGCAAGCATATCAACAGTGGAGATGACATTTGAAAAAAACAAGGAAAAGAGAGAGGAGGGAAGAGTATTAGCCGCACTGAAGGCTGTCCAATCCGACATGGCGACGATGCAAAGCGAGATGAAGTTTCTCCGTGATGCAGTAACCAAAGTGCCTGAACCGGGGGATGAAATGCGAAACAATGTGGCGACGAAAACTAGTCGACCGAAGCGTGGATGTAGAGAATGTGATGAGAAAGGTTTGTCGGACACGTGTAATCACTGTTTTCTTTGTGGTGGGGCCAATCATATAGCCAGATATTGCAACATGAAGTTCAGAAACCAGGGAAACCACAAAGGGCTGCCCCCGAGGGACAGGGTGTAGCCCAATCAAAGACAGAAATGAAGTCCCACCTTTGTAATTACTGTTTGAAGAAAGAAAGTAGATCAAATGAATTTCAAATATGTTCGATATGTAAAATTGTGCATTATTGTTCAAAGGATTGCCAGAGAAAACATTGGGTTGAACATAAGACTCTCTGTACATCCATCAAGAACCTCTCAACAACTGCAGGTACAATACCTGGTTTGGGAGATTCCGCAGATACGAACATGTTTGTCAGTCATCTCACCCCAAAACAGAGAGATACCGTAGTGAAGCTTGTTGGGGAAAAGTGTCAAGTCAAATGCCAACTCAATGGTAAAGAAACGGAGATACTTTGGAACACAGGAGCCCAGGTCTCAATTCTACCTGAGAGAATTTTGAAGGACATGTTCCCAGACATTCCGGTTAAGGATATACATGAGCTTTTGGGGGCTGGATCAGATCTAAAGCTAGAAGCAGCCAATGGAACACAAATTCCGTACAACGGGTGGGTAGGAGTAAATTTTAAGCTCCTTAACAATTCAGCAAAAGAAATCACAGTACCATTTTTGGTCACAAATGAAGACCTTAACTGTCCCATAATTGGTTACAACGTAATTGAACTTTTTGTGAAGGATAATGGCCCAGAAACGGCATTGTCCGCTGTTGCAGAAAGTTTTGACAATGTCAGTAACACAGAGGCAAGTGCCCTAGTTAATTTTATGAACAGTGATCTTAGCGAAAGTCTTTGCGCAGTTCGAACATCGAAAAAGAAAGTAGTTATCCCTAGTGGCCAGACCATGAATATTTCATGCCGTGCAAACACTGGACCAATAAGACGAAACAGTCCTGCATTATTTGAGCCAGATGAACAAACCCATATGCCAATAGGTGAGCTCACCTGCTTTTTTCCCGAGCTCACCTGCTTTTTTCCCGAACTCACCTGCTTATAAACCAATCAGAGTCGCCCATATATGATGATGTTTTGTTTCAGCAGCGCGAAATCCTGCTGCAGGGGAGTGGAAGCAAGAGCAAGGAAAATAATATATAGTATTAAATATGAAAAGAACAAAGCGTTTTGAAGCTATATCCGACGAGCAATTAAAACAAAGACAGCATAATCTTGAAAACAAAAATACAACAGACAATGAAAAGAAAGCAGAACGTTTATTCAAGCAATATCTTGCAGAAATTGGCGAAGATTTAAATTTTTGCGAGTTCAGCGAGGAAAAACTTGATAAACATCTTGCCAAGTTTTGGTTCGCTGCCAGAACAAAGAATGGGCAAAAATATAAAATTGGATCTCTTGAAACTACCAGATACAGTTTGAACAGAGTTCTGAAACGTTATGGCCACAAATTCGATATAACAAAGAGGGAATGCACGGCATTTACTGCAAGCATCAAAGCCTATGAAGATGCAACGACTGAACTGAAACAAGAAGGAAAGGGATTCACCAAGAATCACGCTGCTGTCAGCCCTGAAGGTAAAATATAGCAAGAAATTATAATTACTACATTTATGTAAACGTTGTGCATTCCTTTTTATATGCAACAACAGAAATTCCCTCAATCCTAATTTCAAACTTTGATATTACTTCAGACTTGTACGACATATATCATAGTCGACATCTTGACCCTGATGCAGGACCAAGAGCTCTTCAAAACAAGGTTCAGTGGGACATACGATTCTATTTTGCACGCAGAGGATCAGAGAACATTACAATATGACGAAGACCAGGACTTGCAAAAAACTGTACATTGAAAGACAAAGGCTACACTAACCACAGCCTTCGAGCATCTGGAGTAACAACCTTGAAACGCAACGACTATAATGATAAGCAAATCATGTCCGTTACCGGCCACAGAAGCAGTGCAAGTTTGAACATATATCAGAAAGTTGCATCAGATGAAAAACTTAGAATGGGTTTAACACTTGGCTATGCACTTACTGGAGATCCTAGCTGTCTGACGAAAGAAAACGAGGTAGCCTGTGTTTACCAGCAGCATCCTCATGACAACCACCCCAAACAATCATCCAATGCAACCCACCTTTCTTTCCGTACCACTGGCACTGGAAACCAAATTGTGCCTCTTCACAAGCGACAAGCTCCCCGTTTCACAGAAACTGCAACAATTACCAAACGACCATGTCTGCACAATCTCCAGAGAGCAAACTCTTCAAGTTCTGTAACAGCTAAGCAGTCTTCAACATATGATGACTCGATGTTCGAAGAAAACAATGCAGTTAGCGATGCAGAGTTGCTGAAAGCAGTAAATGAGTATGAAGAGGCTACAATATCAGAGAATGTTCAATTCATGCAGTCATCTCAGACTGACTCAAACAAAATACAGTGCATTTCCAGGCAAATATTGAAGAAGATGAGCCCACCTACATTCAGTAATTGCAAAATTGAAGGTGGAATTATTATTAACATTCATATATATATATATATATATATATATA